GGCTAATAATGCAACAAGCTCAATAAATTTTAGCTTTAATTAAAATTTGATCAACAGACCCCCAATTCCCCTCTTACACAAGCACACACACACATGAATATATAGAGATATAAGTACGGTAGCTGGGAAAGCTTTGCCAGACTCGACAAATGTATTTTGTGTAAATGTTACAAATCTTAAATACTACGCATTAATTTTCGGTAGCGAAAAGGCATTACAACCAATTCCCCGAGTCGAAGTTCGTAAGCTCAGTATTGGACTTGAACCCAACGGCGGAGCCACAGTCGAGTCTTTCGACTAATGAACTTTTGGAGCGGACGCTCGATTTGAGCTCTGCGAGGATCAGGGGCGGAGGCTGGCTGCTGCTCACTTCACTTGACTTGATTAATGGACCAACAAAGTGTTGAACATCAAAGGTAGGAAAATAGTAATTTACAATATATCCACAGCGACGAAGCCAGAGATGAGCTATAAATTTAATTTATTATGCCCTAACAGAGGGTATTACGAATTTAATGAGAAATATGTTGCCGTTTAAGGATATTTTATAATTATCATTTAGAATATAAAATATAGAATATAAAATATATAATATAGAATATAGAATATATAATATAGAATATAGAATATAGAATATAGAATATAGAATATAGAATATAGAATATAGAATATAGAATATAGAATATAGAATATAGAATATAGAATATAGAATATAGAATATAGAATATAGAATATAGAATATAGAATATAGAATATAGAATATAGAATATAGAATGATGGAGAGTATAGAATATTATCAAATTAATCTGAATTACTTAGGGTATTCTGTATTCAACATCTATATCTATGGTAAATCTAAAAGTTTGTTATTATTTAGACATAATTATAAATGGTTAGCCAGAGATCAGACGTATACCTGTTGCAATGAAAGCGCTGATGGTCCAATAATAACCTCGATTCGGCGTTCAGTTGGCTTCATCAGGCGTTGCCTGGGCCATAAGAAGCGCAAAACCTCAAAATATTTACAGGGTCGAGGCGAGAGTCAAGCGGGACTATCCCAAATATTTGTGCAAACTGTGTGCGAATAAATTGTGAGTTCCTGGAGGCAGGAGTCGGGATGCGGGATTGAAAATTCTGGATTCAGGCTGGTGAAAGGATTTGCCAGGGACAGACAAGCAGCATAAACACTGGCCGAGGATTAAGGCAGTTCGGAAATAATCCTTTGCTGCCAGGAAGCAAGAAGCAAGAAGCGCAGGCAGCAGCGCGACTTCGACTCACTTTACGATGCCATCATAAACTTTTATTTGCCTTCCATTCTTTTCGTCCTGTCTGAGGACGAAGCGCATGCGCAGTTCGGACATGAACCCCTTTTGTGGGTCAACAGGCAAGAGTTAAGCGTAGAAAGGCTTAGCTTTCAGCGCGAACTCTCAAAACGAAGTCAAAGTCAGGTAGAGCACCGGCACCAATGTCCTGGCAGGCAGCCAGAGGACGATCCTTTCGCAAGGGCCGATAATCCTTGCTAATGAGGTGTTTGCTGCAACTGCTGAAACGGTGCTGCATTGAAGGCTGCCTGCAAAGTCCGTAAGTCAAGGATAATCGAGTATAATAGCCAAAAGTCTAAGCTGAATGAATCTATATCTTAACTACTCTAGATTTCTGATAATTAGTCTAAAGTGTAGTTAAGAGAAGTTATTATAATTGCTGATATAATTTAGCTGCAACTGAGATGCAGACAATTTTAATATCTCTTTGTGCATATGGTGTAAATGTTATAGTACATAAATATATAAAATATAAACAATTATTATATATGTATGTACCGTATAAAAATAGTTTTTCAATTGGTCTCAGCATATAAGCCTGATCCGTGGTAAATCTCAAAGATTGATGCAGAGTCTGTTTTAGTAAGGGCTGAGTTTGGACAGAATAATCTATATTGGGTGGTATAAAGAATATTTTAACAATTAATAAAGAATATTAGCTCAGATTTGACTTAAGACTTCATTAAATAATTATTGAATACGACAATTTTTAAATTTATATTTAAAGCATATACATACACATTTCATATCTTAAGTTTTGATTAATTTTATTTTCTACATACATATATATTTATTTTTTCTTAAATTTCTCACATAGTTGTATTACAATACTATTTAAACTTGTATTATATTATCTCCATATAAAACTCTCATAACTTTCTGAGTCTATATAGGCCTGTGTTTTCTATAGATAATTCATTTGAATGGCTCACTCTAGGACACTTCTAGAGGCATCGTTTAGTCTATGTCTATTGGCAAACATTTTGGTTTGGTCTGTCACGACGAACTACTGTCTGGCTGCTCAGTTGCTCAGCGCTTCGGTTGGTGTCCTCGTTCGTCCTGCTCGTCCCGTTTCGTGTTGCTGTCCCACCGGCAGTCGAGTCAGCACATGCTGTTAGCTCACACAAATTGATTTGTCAAATTGAGGCGCACAAGGACATTGCGATCATTAACGATGATTGCAGGACACGACGAGCGCAGGTCGAAGGCCATTGCGCAGTTGGACTAGGGCCAAACTGAAAACTCAAAACTGAAAATTGAATACGGCAAACTGCAAACTGCAAACTAGAAAAACTGAGCATTGTCAACACTTTGTAGAGATGCTACCACCAACTGTTTCTGTTTCGCGATCCTCCTGCCAGTTGGAGTTTTATTAATAAACACATAGAAGAAGTTAGAGCTACACAGAGGGAGAGACAGAGAGAGAGAGAGAGAGAGAGAGAGAGAGAGAGAGAGAGGGAGATGCTTTTGATCTTGCAAAATAGTCGTAATCGATTTGGAATGCTTGGCGGGACCTTCTCCTGGTTGTATTTATAGTCGACCTCTTGGTTAGCAACTTGTCAGCTTCCTTTTGGCAAGCTGCACTCAGCAAGTGTCTTCTGTTTGGACCACAAAACCGAACTGCGCAAATTTACGCCGAGACTCTGGAACCGTTACGCTACTTTAGAGCACAAAATTAAATGGATATCTTTAGCCATAGACATGTACATATAGGTAGATGGTTAGTATCATGTACAGCTAATGGAGTGCTAAATGCTCAGTTTTTAGTATCCTAATCCAAATTGCACATCAACAACAGCAATTCCAACTAACTCTAGCTAATTAACTAGCTGAGTTGCCTCTACATGCCGACAGGTGGCGCCCAACCCCCCCGTTTGAATTGGTTTGCTCGCAACGCTGCGAGCGGGGCTTATGCCATCTAATACAATAAATGGACAATGCTAATGCGCTCACCTGTGCCCAACTGACATTATAATTAATGACAAATAGTCCAAGCCGACGGCTGACGCCTGAAGGGCAATCAACAGAGAACAATGGCCATATTATTTTCGATTTTCGATATATGAAAAAGAAAACTTAGACATCTTATCGCCTGGGCGCTACCTAGCTGCTGTTGCTGCTCTGGCTGCTCTGGCTGCATATTAATATTAATGGTTTGTTATTATATGACCTGGTGCCTCAGTACTGCTACAGCTAGACCTCCAGTCCAGTCTCGAGTCTCAAGTCTCGAACTCCTTTTGGGTTTGCCGTGGGCTTTGTTCACGCCGCGATTGCTTCACTGCACTGACGCCTGGCGTGACGATTTTAATTTTTTTTATTATTATTATGTAGATTGCGGCACGGGGAGCTTGCAGTCGACCTGCCATAAAACAGCGACAGAGAGAGAGAGAGAGAGAGAGAGAGACGGAGAAAAATAGGTAGACAGGGAGAGGGGGCAAGTGAGAGCCAAAGCGAGGGTATTCCGTAGTATTTGGCAATGCGACTTTGTTTTTCTCGCTGAGGGCGTATTGTTATTTTATATACACTATTTGATATATGCAATTAGGAGTGTATAGAGCTGTAGACATTAATGGACTAGGAATTTACTATAAATATATATGTCTATAAATATATAGTTGATGTCATTTTACATAATTTATTTCTATTATTTTTCATTTCACTTCTTGTTGAATTTATTATAATTTGTATTTATTTATTTTTATGTAAGTATGTAAATAGAGTCTATATAATGTGTATATTTATGAGAAAATTATATATATAAATAAATAATATATTTGATTAGCTAAATTAAAATTTGTATCTATTAAATTGTGCATAAATTGCAGTTTAAGAGTCTTTGCCTGTCAGTTACAGGGTATTGTGCAGTCGTTAACTTGCGAGTGGCTCACTCTTTTCTCCATTTTTATGGTAGCCAACGTAATTAGTCGCACGCTTCGTGAGCAGCGCCACCTAGCGGCTGGCGGAGAGTAACGAACGGCATTGCCCGACATTCCGCGAAGGCAGGGCCCAAACTAACAGCTAATGAAGCCCCCTTCACGGTATGCGCCGGCACCAACAACTACAACAACAACAATGCGACAATGTAGACCTGGCCTCAGCCGCAGCAGGCAGCAGAGGAAGGCTTCGAGTCGACTTCATGGACGCGTACAAATTCCTTTGAAAATAAAAGAAAGGAGTTGAAAGTTTGTTTGTGTGTTTTTATGTTTTTGCTTTATCTGCAGTTTGCTCGCAATTTACGTACTTTGCGTTTATTTTGTTTATTTTACAGCAAACTAAATGCGGCATGTGGCACGTTTAGCGTTTAGCGTTTAATACATACATACATATATAGTATCCTTATAAATAAGTATATATGTTTATTTGTATAGCTTATGTTCGCGGAAATTAAGTTTGACTTGTGGAAGTTTGTTTCTCTGGCACTGATTGAATACTTTTTAACATGGCATATTAAACTATATTAAAGTATGGGCTTTAAGAGAAGAAAATGAGAGGGAGAGAGAGAGGGAGGGAGAGAAAGGGAGAGAGAGAGAAGGAGAGAGATAGAGTGGTAGAAAGGGGGAGAGAGAGGAAGAGACACAAAGAGAGAGACAGAGAAAGAGAAATAGAGAGTGGGAGAGAAATAGAAATATAAGCAGTGGGAGGGAAAGAAAAATAGAGAAGAAGTAGATGAGAAATAGAGGGTAGAGTATAGAATGGAGAAAATAGAGAGACAGGTACAGAAAGAGGGAGAGGGAGAGAGATGGATTTTCATGAGGCAGTAATCTAAATATAGAGGATTTATTTAAATAATATAGAATTGTTATTAACAAAATATTTTTTCTTTTCGATTTTTCTAGCACAGAATTCTGTTGCTGAGAGCAAAAATGCAAATTTATTGGACGCAGAAATAAATCATGCATCAAGACTCATGATGGTCTTCAGAGGTAAGTGTGAATATACACCAAGCCGTACCACATTACCACAAAACCGTCTATTCAACTCTCCTGCTGTTCATTGTATTCTAAAATAACTTTAATATTTTCAGATTGTTCATTGTATTCTAAAATAACTTTAATATTTTCAGATTAAGGCGATTCTTCAGCTAAGAGGGCAGGAGGGAATCATCCACGCTAAAGTAAATAACGCAGGATAGTATTAAGTATATTATTCATATAATTTAAGTGCTATGTATATGTGTACAAATAAATGTAGATTTAAATCAGCAAAAACTATGTAAATTTGAAAAGCAATAAATCAATTTGGTCATTAAATATACAAACTGTGTTCTTATTTAACAGGGTTTCTTTACTGGGAATTAATATTCAAAGTCAACGATTAAAACTATGCTCCACTCAAAATACAGTTGCATAACTTAGGGAGGCTGTTGTGGCCGTTGGGGCCGAAATTTGAAAGGCAACGTTCAGAAATAACAGGCGAACAGAAATAAGTAGCAGAGTGACAAAGGTTAAATGGTATTTAACATAATAACGTTTTTAGTCTGTTAAATAACAGTATGGTAACAGTACACTGTTAATATACTGTTAATGAATAGGTTGCACCCTACTTATCGTTTCTGTGCGCCTGGTAATTCACCAAAATGGCTGAGAAACTTTTAGAAGTACCAGGCCAACAGAAATGCGTAGTAGGGGAAAAAATGTAAGCTAGCAGTATATTAACACAGTACTGTTACCGCACTTTAAATACTCTGTTAAATAACAGTATGGTAACAGTAAGCAGTTAATGTACTTTTAATGGACATTTTTCACCCTACTTATCGTTTCTGTGTGCCTGGTATTTCACCAAAATGGCTGAGAAACTTTTAGAAGTACCAGGCTGACAGAAATGAGTAGTAGGGGCAAAAATGTAAGCTAGCAGTATATTAACAGAGTACTGTTACCGCACTTTAATTACTCTGTTAAATAACAGTATGGTAACAGTAAACTGTTAATGTACTGTTAATGAACATTTTTCACCCTACTTGTCGTTTCTGTGCGCCTGGTATTTCACCAAAATGGCTGAGAAACTTTTAGAAGTACCAGGCGAACAGAAATAGCAGTAGGGTCAAAAATGTCAGTTAACAGTGTATTATTCTTACACTGTTGATGCACTGCTGATAACATAGTTTACACTGTTAAATAACAGTATACTGTTAACTTAACTTTTTTAGACCTCCTGTTCGCCTGTAATTTTACAAAAATTTCCGTTAAATTTTGTTCACCGCGGGAGCAACAGCCGACCGTTACTGAGATTAAATGAAACGTCGGCTGATAAACAAATCATGCACATTTTTAGCCATGTGTATGAGATTTTCGCCCGTTTCAGGGGTTTTATTGTAGGTAAACCAGAACTACACTCATGATATGTTGTGATCAAGAATATGTGTCCCAACATGGAAATGATGCTGCTATTTTTTTTTTTTTCTTATCACAAATCACAATTCTATAGTATTTCATCTCTGCCACAATTTCTGTCTAGCCGATATCCAAAATATAGCAATACTTATTATCTATACCAGCATGATTTGTATTAATTTACTAGCCATATCTACATATTAATATCAGTACCTATGTTTATACCGATGTCAGGTCATGCCTGCATTAAGCATATACACATTTAACACAATATCCATGGTATTTTTTATTGAATTCTCATTTTATTGAATCCTATCATAAGCTCATTTGGTCTTTTGAGTTTTTCTCAAATTAATATATACAAAATATACAGAGAGTAGTTTCTCTAGAAATCAATTCAAAATATGGCGGAGCGACAACGACGTAGCGCGACTTTGTCCGCCACGGCGCGGTCTACGCCATAGCCACGCCACAGCGTTTCTGGCGGTTTTTTCCAGGTGATGAAGTAGGTCTTGTGGACGGCAGCAAGCGGGGCTTTTCGTCTTTGCAGACGCCTTCGAAAGGGCCAGAGGAACCAGTGGAAGGGGCCACGACTGATGGAATGTGAGGAGACAGTGACAGCAGCTGGAGGGGAAGTTTGTAGCGTCTCCAGCTGCAGCTTTGGCACCGGTTGCTCCACCACAACCGAATCCTCTCCAGCTGTATGTGTTGGCAACGAAATGGCCTGCATTTCCTGTTTACTGTAGACGGGTATGATCCGTGTGGTGGAGCTGAAGACCTCGACATCGTCATCACCGTGGACTATCCAGGGCTTATAGGCCACTGGCTCGGTCTCCTCCAGCTCCTCGAGAATTGGCGAAACGCGATTGCTGCGATTGCACTTGAAGCAGCGAGGCAAACGGGAGCTCAGCTTCCGTTGCTGTTCGGGCTGAGGGACGTTCAGCTCCGGCACGTGGTGCAGTTGCGCCTGCTTCTGTCCCTGCTCCGGCTCCTGCTGCGGCATCTTGACCAGTATGAAATGATCGTTGAGCAGGCAGACATCCGACACCTTATCACACTTCTCCTGCTCGCTGAAGAACGAATCCAAGTCAACGCTCTGCGGATAGATTCTATAGTCTTCGCGATGCAGAGCCAGGAGCTGATTTCGCTGCAGTGCCACGAAGTTGCCACGTTGCTGTGTTTGAATGAAGGTGCCCAGCTGCTGGTCGACACATCTCACCTGTTGCACCTGCTGCTCGACAACGGCCTGTGTGCTACGGCAAATACCTCTGCTCCTCATACAACTCCAGTTACTATAGCGCTGCTCGAAGATTCTGGCAAAGATCTGGGCGCTCTTTCGGTTGCATTGCGGTCGCTGCTGCGGCATCAGCGCCGTGGACAACGACATTCTGATACATCCAAAAATAGTTTGAATGAATTCCTAGAGCGAGATAGTTCAAATCAGTTCGGATTAATGAAGTTTAAAACGTAGTTTTTAGTTAGATGTTCAAAAAGACATTAAAATGTAAAAATATTGGAAATGAATCATGAGCAATATTTAGCACTATTTGCTATACGACTTTAGTTGTGAAAATAGAGGTTACGAACACGAATTCCATTTAACTGTTGCACACGCGTGAAAATGCATTATTTAGCGATTGCGCTCGCAATATAATTGAATATCCTAGAGTGAAATCGTTTTTCCTGTCACAGAGAATAAAGTACTTTTCACTCTTTACCCTTTGCCGCGCCACCATAATATATTTAGCTAGCGAACGTTTATCCTTTCGACTTTTGACTCGGCAATTTCAGTTGAGGGTCAGACTGCAGACTGCAGGCGCCAAGAAATGAAAGCCAAGGCAAAAGGCGATATGAGTTGCTTCCGCGTCACCCAATGCCAACGCCGACAACAACAACAGCCGCGGCAGCAGCAACGGCAATAGTTACAATAATAACAACAATAAAAAATGTATTTGATGCGGCACTGGCAACACGAAAGTTTTATTTATTATTTTGACAGGTAAACAAATCACGGGCTCAACACAAACACAAACGCAAAAGCCGCAAGCTCTTACTCAGTCAAACACACACATACACTCATACTAATACACATTCACGGTCTGCGCTTACATTTTGCTGTTTCTGTCTGTTTCGTATATGCCGTTAGTTTTGTTCGTCTCGTTGCTCGCCGCTTCGCATGCCAAAGACAACTGAAGCCGACTTTTAGGCTGCGCTGCGCTGCTCGCGTTGTCAGCTTGCACGACGTAAGCGCCTAGTGTCACGTAATGCCGCGTAACGTAACGCAAGCGCAACGGCTGCTGACTGTTGCTAGCGCATTTGCATTTAGCCTGCGTTTGTTGCTGAAATAACAGAATTGACAATTAAAAAGACAAACAATCGAATACCCGGCGTGACTATTTGTGCATGTGTTTGTGTGTGTGTGCGTGTGTGTTTGTCTGTAGATGTGTGCGCCCATTAAAGGAACATTTTGAATGCATTTAGTGGAGTTGGCATAGTTAATGTGTTAACAAATACATATATGCATATGTACATAACGTCAAGGTCATCAAATGTTGCCCATATGTGACGTATATGCCATATATGAATTTACGTATTTCATTAATATTCTTCCCAAGCCATTTTTTAACTTTCAGAATGTAAGGGTTGCGGTAAAAAGAGACTATGTTTCGAGGTTTGGGTCTAACAAAAATTAATTATGTACACATTATCAAATCTATATGATTAATTTTATATTGATTCATTATATAATCGAAATTTTTATTCAACTTTAATGCACATCAATGAATCAAACTATCCCTTACTCCGAACTCCATTGGCACCCAAACTCGACTTCATAATTGAGTTTGTTTTTTGTCATTATTATTGATTCTTAATGCACGCAAATAATAATATGGCAGTGCAGACACAGGACTCAATATATGCATGTGGGCGATAATAGGCGAAGGGGCGGGCCATAAAACCCGAACATTAATGTCCATTTGGATAATAGGAATACAGAATAGTCGGAGGGTTGTAGTTTCGCTGTGCTTCTGATTGAATCAGGTGGAACTGAACAGGAAAAAAAAGGGAAAACGAATAATAATGTTAGACGACCGACAATCGACTTCATGATACTCGCTCACAATATAAAAGCAATAGAGCTTTAATATTTAATATTTATGATTCAAAATGCCCAAATTATTTAATCATATAATATTTATACTTAGTTGTGGACAAACTAAACTCTTAATATATTTGAAATATCAATTCAGAAACTGTGATATGTTTTGATTTTTATATAAGCCGAATACGCCCCTTTGCAGTTCCCGAACGAGTATTCAATATGGAACCAGTCAATGTTTACTTTGATTTGTGGCAAACAAAGCAACGCAACTGATTTGACGATTTTCGAAAAAGTCACGAAAAGCTCAATATTTGATTTATGTATAGATACAATTTCATACTTTAATGATGAGCTATGGGTTATTTTTAGGTATAGTGGCGCTTTGGGAAAACACAATTTTGGATATAAAATTCTGAATGAGTAGCCTTCGCGCCGTCATTGGCTTAGCTTTTGCTTCCAAGCAGAACAATGGTCATACTACTACTATAAACATCCATTCACGTTCAGGTACTTCTTCAATTTCAAAATTTGTATTAGATATTCTTAATTATGATTAGTATTTATTGAGCTAATAAACTTATTTGATAATCCCATACATGAAGAGTATGCATTTAATATTAATATAATTATTAATAGGCTTTCAACAAATCTAAGCATTTTTGACTTAATTGCTCTCACAAGTGAATATTTTCCTTGCCGCGAATCAATCCTATATAGAATATAGTCCAAAAGCTGATCAAACAAATTGACTTCAATTATTCGCAGCGCTCGGCGCTCGGAGCTGTTCAATTAGCGATCTGAGTTGATGCAGAGACCCTTAACTGACCTTCTCCAATTTGTAGTCAGAACGAGAGGCTTGATATCTACTTGCAGAACAATCAAACTGGTTGTATCAGAAAGAGAGAGGGAGAGAGCGAGAGAGAAGAAGGAAAGAGATAAAAGAAGAGCGAGTGGGATAATTAAAAACTGCAGTCATGCACATGCGATACGAGGCGCAAAAGATCAGAGCAACTGCACAACCCAAAGCCCTGCCCCAACAATCGCATGATAAAGTTCATGTTTTGTTTTGCGTTATACTTTATTCAATATATTCATATATACATACTTATGTAGATACCTTTATATGCATATTAACAAGCTCGGACTTACTGAACTTGAACTTGGGCGCCGAACTGTTGCTTTGTCATCAGTCGTAATGAACGAGTAATACAAACAAACCGCGGAAAGCGTTTTGCTTTTGCTTTTGTTTTTTGTTGGTCTGAAAACGGTAAATCATGCAATAGCAACAGAAACGAGATGAGTAAGACGTTTGATAATGAAAGTGCTTGACCGCAATATACCCTGTAAACAAGCCTATCACACGGTATCAGCTGAGTGTGCTTTAACATTTAAGATAAAAATATATACAAAATAATGAAAATCGATAATGATCGATGTATCGTATATCTAACGATCAAATTGAATCTTAAAATTATCTGAATCTGTACGTTACATACTTTTGCACCAGCTCACACTACCCCACACTGTGCATTTGCAATGAGCATGTGAGACCAAACATAATGAAGTTTCATAATGAAGCTGCGTATCACCTTTTGTTTTAAAGTTGTCAACCGAAGGTCACAGCTCGCCTTTGCGTTGTCTTGGGTCACCATAAACATATTTTTATTTCGAAGCACTTTTATCCTTGACTTGGTGCTAAATTTTGTTTACCAAGGATTCCCCACACAATCTCTTTCTCTTCCTCTCTCTCACTCGGTTGCTCTCAGTCATTCTCCTACACACTTTTGCACTTTTGTGCTCTTTCCATTTCGAAGCTCAGTCAAGTTTTCGTTGACTTGGCGCGCGCAGCTCAAATCAGTTGGTGGCAGGCAGCGAAGCATTGCGGTTGCACAGCTGAAAGTAGCTTTAAAGAAAAGAAAAGAAAAACAAAATACGACTCGAGTTGCATAACGGAAATCAACTAATTTTTGTGGCAAGTTGCAAGTAGTTCAAATTGTTAAGGCGCACCTCGCTCCCCATTGAATTGCAAAAAGACATTGCCATCTATTTACCTCTCCCTCTCACTCTGTCTGCCTGTCTGTCTAAGACATTGCAACATGTTGTTGCCACAAAAAGAGAATCGCCTCAGTCGGTCGTTCGGTCTGTCTGAGCATTGAGCTAAGCGGAAAAGCCACTGTCTGTGTGCGTGTGTGTGTGCCACATAGTTTTTCACGTAATTTTCATTTTGGTTAAAAAAGAAAGTGAAAACGTTGCATATAAACAGCAAAAAAAAAGAAGAAAGAAAGAAAAAAACGCTTGCAGCTGGTTCACCTACGCCGACTCTTCCGCTCCTCTAAGCCCCGCTTCCCCTTCCACGACCTTCTTCAACAAGCTCGTCGCATCAGCTCGTTCCCAAAAGGTTGCGAATACGGAAGACAACATTTGTTACCGCACTTGAGGCGTAAAACAATGAAATTAAAATGTAATGAAAACAAAACAAATTGAAAACTTTGCATTAAATATTTTCAGAAAGAAGCCAAACAAAGTTACTCAACAACATGATTGAGCGAGAAATTATACAGTAAGTGCTAAATACTAACAATACTAATGGATTGTAATAATTAATATAAATTGTGCATTAGCCGCAGCAACAGCAACAACAAACACAAATCGTATAGTAACTGCGTGCATTGAATGAACCTGCATTGTCATCGACCTAATGGATATTTGTCAAAGTTCTAAGCCCAACAACTAGGCCAAGTTTTATCGTCAATACTGGCAGCAATTCAATGATAGATAGCCACTATACAGATACATATATACATTTGTATATTTATAATGTTTGTATATGCTCATAGCTAGCCAGAGTTCGGTTTATCATCATTAGCATAACGCAAAAGTCCGTTGACCGTTTGAACGTTTAGTCGAAATGTACCTAAGGCCGCATGCAAATAGTTATATTAAATCATTTTTTGCAAGTGCAAATGTCGCTAGATTCGTTTGCATATCTCTATATTCATTTATTAAGTTTTTCTTTTTTTGTTTGTTTTTATTTTTTTTTTTGCGAATATTTGTTAAATTCATGGGTGACTGTTAATTGGGTAAACTGAAGAAAATTTGCCACCTTTAAGGGACGTTTTTTTTTTGGCACTTTTGGTTTAAGTATTCGCTAATTATTGCCCTGGCAGAGGAAATATTCAAATTGTTTTTGCCATCGCTGTTAGCAAAATATTTAAGATATACGCATCAAGTATGATAATTTGTTGTTTACAGTTAGAGATTTAAAATATTTTAAAAATTATATTTGTTATATGTGAAGGACAGACACATTAAATTTTAATACTTTATTTCACTTTAATTCATTGTTTACTCCTCTTTTTTTTTTTTTTTTTTAATTTTAGCACAACAACCGCATCGAAAAGAATGTTTGAATTTTTGCAGGATGTTCTACAGTTTTTAGTGCTGTTTGCCCGCTTGTTAATGGATATATTAGCTGTGCTGCTGCGATTGTTATTACCCAAAAACCTTAAGGACATAAGCAACGAGATTGTGCTGGTAACTAAGATAAGTTATGTTACACATGAACATATATAGTAATGTATGTGCACTCATATATACCCAGATAACTGGAACAGGACATGGAATTGGCAGAGAGCTCGCCTTACACTATGCCGCTCATGGCAGCACAGTGATCTGTGTGGATATCGACGAGAAGAACAATATGAAAACTGTGCAGGATGTGAAGCGCTTAAATCGTGGCGCTGTCCACAGCTTTAGGTGAGTGGAAAAGCAGACATCGAATTTAGGAGAAATCAATTTGCATTTTATTGCAGCTGTGATGTTTCGAAACGTGATCAGGTGGTGGAGCTGGCCAAGCGTGTGCAGTCGGAAGTGGGGCCTGTTTCTGTTTTGGTCAATAATGTGGGCATCATGCCGACGCATCCTCTGCCCCAGCAATCGGCTGAGGAGATACTTCGCGTCTTCGACGTTAACGTATTTTCCCAGTTCTGGACTATACAAGCATTCCTGGATCAAATGAAGGAACAAGGCAAAGGTCACATCATCTCATTGTCGTCCATTGCCGGGCTGGTGGGTCTTTCCAACTTGGTTCCCTATTGTGCAACCAAGTTTGCCGTACGCGGCTTGATGGAAGCACTACATGAAGAGTTGCGCGAGGGACCGTACAAAGATTTGGTAAGCACACATAACATAAAGACCCTTAACATAAATAAATATGTTTTCCGTTCTTTAGATAAAAGTTACGACTATTTTTCCATACATGACCAATACGGGTCTTTGCAAGTATCCGAAAGTTAAGTTTCCCAGTATTTTGGGTTTGCTGGATCCCAAACATGTGGCTATGCGCATCGTGGAGGCGCATCGTTCCAATTGCCTGGAAGTAACGATACCCAGTTGTTTGATGTACATTAACAATTGGACTCGACTGTTGCCCAGCAGCTGTGGCATTCTGCTGAAAGACTATATTGATAGTGGTGTGGAGTCGGATTTGAAGTAATATTGTACTCGTTAGTCATAGAATATGTATGGAATATTAAAGGTTTTATTGGCCATCGATCCAAGTGTCTAAATGCAAGCAAAGTGGCATGCATTCCAAATGGTGCCAAATAATTGCAATATTATATATCGATACTAATATCGACTTAAACATTAACCACATTTTTAGCTATTGTGTACTCTATTGCTCGTCCCAAACTATATAAGAGTGACAGAGATTGAAATAAGCGCCAATTTAAGTTTAGGCAGTGAAATATTGTACTTATCGATAATTCAGAAGCCTGGTCATACGCTTGTCTAATATAGGTTTGCGCTAATAACTTGCCGGCGAGTTTATACTGTTAGATATGTTAACAGCCATTTAACAAACTAATTTGTGGCTGTTAAATTTTTAAACAGATTAAACGCACATATTGAACCTTATTAATTTGAAATCGAGTTCAATTGAAATTTTTTGACAAAAACAACTTGAAGAGAATATCGGTAGGCATTTCTAATTAAAAATGACAGTTACAAACTATTGGAAGAAAACAAAACAATAACAAAAAAAAAAAAAAAAAAAAAAAAACAATAAAAAAAAAAAAAAAAAATATATATATATAATCAAAATTAATATTTATTATAAGTAAAGAAAATCCATTCTAACGATAATAACGATAAATGCACCTAATTTTTGCACCACACCACATTGAAAATAATATTGGCATTCTTGTTGGACTTTCTGCAGTTTCTAGTGCTCTTTGTACGAATGGTATGGAAATAATACGTACAATGCTACGATCGTTAGTGCCTAAAAAACTGAAGGATATAAGCAAAGATACTGTGTTGGTAACTAAGCTATCCTCTAAAGCATATATAAAAATATATGAACTTGTACATGACCAGATAACTGGCACAGGGCACGGCATTGGCAAAGAGCTAGCCTTACTCTATGCCGGTTATGGCAGCACAGTGATCTGTGTAGATATCAACGAGAAGAACAACGTAAAAACTGTACAGGAAGTGAAGCACTTAAATCGTGGCGTAGTCTACAGCTTTGGGTGATTCCGAAAGCGGACTTAGTATACATGCAAAATTAAGTTGAATTTTATTGCAGCTGTGATGTATCGAAACGTGATCAGGTAGTGGAGCTGGCCACGCGTGTTCACAAGAATGTGGGGCCTGTCTCTGTCTTGATCAATAATGCGGGCATCATGCCGACGCATCCTTTGACCCAGCAAACGCCTGAAGAGATACTTCGCGTCTTCGATATTAATGTTTTTTCCCAATTCTGGACCATACAAGCATTCCTCGATCAAATGAAGAAACAGCGCAAAGGTCACATAATCGCAATGTCGTCCGTTGCCGGGCTGTCTGGTCTGCCCAACCTAGTTCCCTATTGTGCAACGAAGTTCGCTGTGCGCGGCTTGATGGAAGCACTGTACGAAGAGATACGCAAGGGACCCTATAAAAATCAAGTGAGTGCATGCGATATAAATAATTGTCTATCTTGTTTAATATATTTTCCATCTCTTAGATAAATCTTACCACTATTTATCCATACATGACCAATACGGGCCTTTGCAAAAATCCGAAAATTCGGTTTCCCAGTATTTTGGGTTTGTTGGATCCCAAACAAGTGGCTATGCGCATTGTGGAGGCGCATCGTTCCAATCGCCTCGAATTAGCTATACCTAGCTTCTTCCTGCATTTTCACAATTGGACTCGACTGTTGCCCAACAGTTGGCGCTTTGCTATAAACGACAGTATTGGCAGTGGTGTGGAGTCGGATTTGAAGTAATATTATATCATTGTCATTGAATATGCGTGGAGTATTAAAGGTTTTATGGGCCATCTATCCAAGTGTTTATATGAAATTTAAATTGGCGCGGTGCTGTGTAAGCAACCTTTTAATATCGATAATTATATCGTATGCTAAAGTTGAGAGAGCTCCTCTTGTTTACATTTTCTACAATAACAGCTGTTAGTGCGTATGTCTGGCAGCACTCTGCTGTCAGCTGTGGTATGACAACAAAGAAAAATGGCTTGCGAAGTAAAAACATTTGGAAATATTTTAGATTTTCGAAAGATACAAGAATACTTTGGACTTGGACATGGTAAAAATGCAGCACCTAAGCTTTTATATAAACTAGATAATTGTTTGCCGATTCCCAAATAGACGACAATTGGCTTAACGGCATCAACTATGCCATGTCACCCACTGGAGAGGCGATTGCCCTAGCGCTGGGCGAAAAATTGGCATTCCTGACCACCTGCTGGAATAGTCGTAGCAATGAGAATAACTATACGCTTAGTTGGTGTGGCGAGCTGGAGGATGGCAATCAAATTGTCACCAGTCTATTGTGTATGCCAATGCTGCGTGGCACAGATATCGAGTGGACTTGCGTGGCAGTCGGCTTGGCCTCTGGCTTGGTTACATTCTATACAGATACGGGTGTGAAGCTCTTTTCTCAATGGTAAGTTATAGAGAATTATATACATTTTCACAAATTCAAATTGTGTAAAATTTGCATTTATCAGCTGTCAGGAGGAATCTGTTTTGGGCATTAAGCTATTATCGCCTCCGCGTCATACAGAAGCTGATGCGTTGCTGTACATTGTTTACAGTAGCTGCATGTGCTTCATCAATGGCGAAGACATACTGCCCATGCTTTCCAATTGCCGGCGTAACATGGAACGTAGCGTTTACTCCAGCTCCGATGTGGTGCCCTTTCAAAAATTCAAATTCAAGCTGCAGAGAGAAAGCATCCTCAACGATGCCGTTATCTGCACGAATCAGCGCTCGCCCACATACGATTATATTGTACAGCAAAGTATTTCGAACGGCTACTTTGCCCGGGTGCAGGCGACTCCCGTGCGCAGCGCCCAGGTCTTAGCGGCTGGAGCAGAACCCTACTTAGGCTTCTTTGAAGCAGAGGAGGGCTACAAGACGGTGACACTCGGTGAAGTGGCTAAGGATGTCATTGGCATGGCGTATAAAAATATTCTAGGTGGACTTTTTCGACGTACGCCGGCCACAACGCCGGAAACGCCGGAGCAATTGCCGCTGCCCAGCAAGGAGGCGCCCATGCGCACGCGCTGTCGGCTCTACGATGGAAAACGCGATGGGCTAACATTGATTCTGGCACCTGGCGGAAAGCTGGCTGCTGTTACAGATAATCTGGATCGTGTGATGCTCGTGGATACACAGCAAACGATTATATTGCGAGTGTGGAAGGGCTATCGAGATGCGCAGTGTGCATTTGTGCCGATCAAAGAGCGTTCGGTGCGTGGGATAAAGACACATAGGAGGAATGCACTCTTTCTGGTCATCTACGTGCCCCGCCTCGGCTGCTTGGACATTTGGGCTCTGCAGAATGGACCCAAAGTGGCTGCGTTCAATGTCTGCAAGAGCGGCCAATTGGTTTACAACAATCACAGTCCGTTGGGCGCGGCGGGCGTGCAGATGCGTCGATCGCCCAATTTGAACTATTGCCTGTTTCTTGACCCGAGCGATGGCAGCCTCAAGGAGGTGCACATACCATTCCACTATGCACTCAGTGAAACCAATTCGAAGACGTCTCGAGACATTCACTCGTTGCGCCGTTTGCGCAATCAGCTGCGAGCGCTGAGCCATTCGGGTGAGGACAGGCAGGAGCAGATCGCTGGCATAGCCAAGCTGGCTGGGGAGCTGGAAACGTTGGAAGTGCGTCAGCAATGTCTGGAAATGCTGCTCAAAAGTAAGCGACTGCATCCTGAAATATTCCAAAGTATTGTCAACGCCTTTCACCAGGCCAGTGCGGAGGATGAGGCCAGTCGAGAGTTTCTTCAGCAAATCGCCAACTACAAACGCTTGACTGATCTTTATTTGACCTTGAGCCAAGCCCAAGAGCATTATCGCGAAACAGTTGCCCCACCCGTAGAACTTTTAGAGCTCTCCGATGCCGATTTGGTTACCATTAATCAGCTAGTGATTCTATTGGAAAATAAGAACGATCAGCCAGCCGTACGCGAGGTGAGCTTCCAGCTGCAGGACTCACACAAGGTGGAGGAGTTCGTGGAATTTTTGAGCATCTTTAACATCGACACGCCCAACTGCGTGACGCTGGTGCCCTCAAAGTCGGATAAATATGGCAGCGTTAGCAACGATCTATTTGGCAATTTCTTTACACAGATTCAGTGTTTTGAGCAGTTCAAGCAGTGGGTTACCCAGGCGTGCATACCCACCAAGGATTTGCTTACCCTGGTCATATTCTACTGGCTCGACAAGCCATTCAAGTATAGCAATTGGTAAGCATGAACAATACTGAATTGAGGTTATGTTTACCCAACGCGTTATCCTTTTCCTTCCCCACACAGTGATGAAGTCGTCGAGGAAATGTCCCGCATCGCCTGCATTGTGCGTGCCATCTGTGAGCTGGCTGGCGATGAGATCAACGACTATGCCTATAAAGCCATTTCGCCTTGGTGGCAACAGGTGCGCGAGCTTCTACTCGAGAGCAAGCAATTCTCTGGCCTGCTGGTGGCCATTGTATGTCGAATGGTGGCCACACGCCTGTGGCGCGACCGACGCGATGGCTCATGCGATGACAGTGCCACGGAGGATGACGAACGCTGGGAGACGATATCACACGATGAGGCACAATGGGGACTGCTCACTGGCAAGCTGGAGGATGTGGCTGTGCTGGGTGCGATACTCGGGTGAGCTCAACCAACTGTTAATAAGCCAATAAGCAAAAATAGTTAGAAATTTTCCTTGCTCGCCTGCAGTCAGTCGAAGACTTGCCGAGAGCCCGTTGGACCAGAGCTGCCTTACGAGCAGCCCGACTGCAGCTTGAAGAATATTCTAAGCAGCGGCAAGGGAATTGTCTCGGAGCTGACAGCCAAGTGGTTGATTAACTCGCGATTGCATCCCTCGCTAATTGTGGAGATAACGCCGCCTGGCAATGAAACGGATGATGAGCCCGAGCAGAAGAAGAAACAGAAGAAAAAGGTTCCAGACCCTAAACTGGAGGCGGAGACAGAGGAGGATGACAAGCAGGAAGAAAGTGCAGTGGAGCCCAGTCCACCGCTGGAGCCGGTGCTGGAGCGCTTAGCTTTGCTTCGCGCGCACTTTCCCTTTAGCCTGGAGTCGGGCGTGCTGCTCAGCCTGATGGCCTGGCAGCACATGGTGCACTGGAGCAAGCAGTTGGCCAACCTGGAACACATGCGCGCTGCAATCCGATGCCTACAGCAATATCGGACTCCAGACCTGGCACTCAAGCACGGTACCTGCTGTCTGATATGGAATGCGACATTGAAGTATCCTTTGCAGGCGACGGCCAAGCTAATGCAGAAAGTGGGTCGCCTGCCGGTGGATAAGATGTGCCAGCAGGATCTGGATATGTCGGCGGCGCTAGTGCCCGAATTTCTCGAGCTCTGCTTAGAGTTCCTGGAGCACTTTACAAGCTCGCTGGAGCATGACAAGCGAGAGCTCCAGTTCGAGCAGTCACTGAGTGAGGGACAGCAGCCGCTTCAATTCCTGGCTCTGCAGCAGCACCATGCGCTGCCGGAGCTGCTCCAGCTGCACACACAGCTATGCACCGTGCTGCACTTCATAGCGCAGTTTCAGCTGCGTCTGCAGCGTCCACTGACCACGCTCTTCGACTCCCTGAGTAACAAGGCGCTGCTGGCCGACATCAACAAGGAGCTGGCCTATGCACTACCAGCTCCAGATCTTGTGCTGCAGGATCAGCGTACACAATTCCTTTGCAATGTAGTTGGTGCTACTATGGATCTGATACGTGAGGACCTGGAGCAGCTGTACATACTCGACCATGTCTACTACATGGCAAGAATATGTGCGCTGGCCGACAGCTGGCAGCTGGACAAGCTGCCCATACTGCGCAGACAGGTGAGTCAGCTGCTGTCTATGCCAACAATTGCAGATGCGAATCAAGCATTAACCTTGCAGGTGGTGGAGCTGTATGCCTTTGGCTACGATGCAGAGGCGCAGCAGTTGCTGCACGACATCAGCGAGGATGAGGAACTGGGCCGATTGCTGCTGGAAATCGCGGGGCGACGCTTGAATCTCTATGCAGACGGATCGCAGGCGGCCTTTCTAAAGATTGCATCAGTGGGTCACCAACTGCTGGCCTATCTGGACAACTTGGTAAGTGTGATCGGAGTGTACTATCCACAGAGTTGAAACTCTCTACTCTCTACTCTCTCTCTCTCTCTCTCTGTAGAAGGAGTCCAGTACCGAGAACAGCCTTTCCATAAGTGCCACCAAGCCGGAGGAGATAAATATTGTACAGCTGGATAAACTGATTACCCATGTTTACAAATGTCTAAGCAAGCGCGGCTCGAAACAACTAATCACCGTTGCCCAGATGTACAATGCTGTGCGTCTGCTACAGACTTGAAGGAATCACTTTAATTTAAGTCCCAGAGCAACGGTATCCAAAAAAAAAAAAAAAAAAAAAAAAAAACCAAATATACATTTCGATTAAGTTTTACCAACGAAGATTAAGGCTTATCTTTCTTTGTTTTGGCTATGCTCGTTGTGATCTGGACTGGAGCTGTATTGCGGCTGGGTTTTTTAACGACAGGCTTTATCTTGACCGGCATGATGTCCGGCTTGGCATTAGCTGAAGTCGATACGGGGTTGGATTTAGCTGAAGTAGATACCCGGCTGGCTTTAGCTGAAGTGGGTACTGGGTTTGTTTTAACTGAAGTGCATGTCGGGTTGGCTTTAGCTGATGTGGATACCGGGTTAGCCTTAGCAGGAAAGGATACCGACTTGGCCCTAGCGGGGCTGGTCTTAGCTTTGCGTGGACTGGATTCTGGTTTCCGGCAGGTCTTTAGTTGGCTTGGCAT